AGTCAGCGAGGACCCCGGCTCCTGCGAGTCAGGGAGGACCCCAGCTCCTGCGAGTCAGCGAGGACCCCGGCTCCTGAGAGTCAGGGAGGACCCCGGTTCCTGCGAGTCAGGGAGGACCCCAGCTCCTGCAAGTCAGCGAGGACCCCGGCTGCTGCGAGTCAGCGAGGACCCCGGCTGCTGCGAGTCAGCGAGGACCCCGGCTCCTGCAAGTCAGCGAGGACCCCGGCTCCTGCAAGTCAGGGAGGACCCCCGAAGGCCCAGTCAAGGCTGTAAACTGGCCTGACAGTAGGTTATTACTTGAATTGACTCATTGACCAAACAGCAATCCCTCACACCGAGCATGCATGCAGAGAAAGGGGAAAAGAAAAACTTTCTTTTATCAGCAAGAAACCTCCAGCAGAGGCAGGCTCATTGTGAGGCTGACTGGGGGTTCAAACATACAGCCATACTTAACTCAACTCAAACTTTATTTATAAAGCACATTTAAAACAACCGGGATTGACCAAAGTGCTGTACAGTTAAGGAACATAAGATAAAAGCTAAGGCTAAAATACATAAACACATAAAAATAGAATAAGATAAATGTTTCAATTGAAATACATTTTAGAATAAAATAAAATTCAAAATAAAATTTTGCCAAATGTCCACTTAGACATGATTAAAAGCCAGGGAGAAACAAACATGGAAGCACTGACCCTTCAATACTTTCTATGTTAGAAAAGGTGGTAAGCTAGCTCCATAGGTGGTGTTTCCTGGGAAAGAAACATTTAAGCAGGCAATCTTATCCAGTTTTCATGTTTAAGAGAGCAGATCCAGTTCACCACACTAAAAGCTTCCGTAGCTACAGTATGTCCAGGAGAGAAATGGGACCATAGTTCATCTTGTTTAGTAAGACAAGCTTTCTTTGGGACTTTTTATCAATGAGTTAACAACAGGGCCTGTTGTAGGCCTAAATATATGAGGGTGCATTTTCATCTGTACACATTATGCTTCATGTTTATTGTTTTCTCCATGGGACTGCGCTAATAGTTTAAAACTAATATTAATTTGCTTCTCAATCAAAGATGACAGTTTGTGGAAAAATCTTTACATTGAAAAAAAAAAACATATTTTTCTACATTCTGAAAATCCTCATAATAAAGCAACATTTGGTACTGAATAAGCAAATGTTTTGTTTGTTTTCTGTGGGTAATTTGTGTTTTTGTTTTGTCTGAAAAAGTCTTAAGGGATGAAAATATCATTTCCTTTCTATTGGAATAGAGGACGGATGTATGTTGCTACTTATTTCTGCTCCTTTTATTCATTATTTTTCTGTTGTTACATTAACTATGATATTAATTATTGGATATATGAAATAAAAACACAATGCAATTAAGTCCAACTCCCCAAAAGTGGATTGCCACTATCCTAAGATCTGCCAGGCTTTGTATCACACTAGGGATCCATTTCATGATGCAGGTTTACTAAAAACTCTTAAGTTAAATATATTATTACAGTTCAGTCTAGGAGTGTGATTAACATGAGCCACAATCTTCTTCGCTATGTTTCTTTACTTTGTAGCTAAAGTCTTTTAAACACAACTCCATTTTTTATTTCATTTTTTTGCATTTCTGCATTAAAATCTAGTTCCAGTGGGGTGAATTAGGCACTTCATGCTGCCTGTTGTCATGGTGACTCGTCAAATCGTCAAATGTCTTTTCATATTTGTTGCGCACGTGCTAAACTCTGAGTTGAGCTACTCAGAGGTGTTTGAACCAATTTAAAGCAGCCGTGGTGAAAACTAAAACTCAGAGTTCCCGACATTAAGCTAGATCAATTTAGAGTTAAATCTGAGTTTGTTAAACCTGCTTCGTGAAACGAACCCCTGATATCTGAAATATATTTCTTAATAGTCAAAATAATACAAATCCTGACCAGTAACAATAGGAATATTGAAATCAGAAATACATTTCTAGACATCCATCATGCTTATTATAGATTTGAAGAGAGTTTGAAATGGTCATATGTTATTAGTAAAACTAATACATATTAAAACAGCTTTTCATAGCCTGTTTTACAATATGGGTTTATTTCTTAAATGGTATTGGATCAATTAATCTTTTTTTGGTGAAAACATCTGGCAGTAGATATAAATGAAGTCTAAAATCATTGTTCTATTAGATATGAGCCGTTCATCTCATGCATCCCTCCTCAGTTTGATTCTGTCTTCTTTACACAGTAAATACCAAGTGGTTGTTTGCAGCCTCTTTGGATGTGTTCATCCCAATAAATGGTCTTTATTAGAAATTATAAGTGCAATAGAAAGGATTCAGATTGTGCCAGTAGGATCAGCAGGTTGTAATCACAGAGTGAATCCTAATCCTAATCCTAAAGAAATTCCTTCCCCCCTGCAGAATTAATCTGTTTATGTGTAATTTGAAAGTAATTTCAGTAGTTCTTCATGTACTGTAAAAATAAATAAATACAGATAAATCTTTCTGCATGTCACTCATTAATTAAACCAAAGATAAATAAATTTCATATTCTGTCAACTGAGTTGTAGAATCCTCTCCCTATAAATAATTTTCCGTGAAATAATACCAGTCATTATTTAATAAGATCCTCTTCAAAATGACAAAAAACCTAACATGTATAATGAGCTAATGAATTTTTTTTTTTTTATTGTATGCATTTTTTTATGCACAAAACTACTAAATCTGAATGAATGCAGTGGGCTGCAGAATCACCAACCAGACAACATGCCCAGCAGATACATAGTTCCCTACGGGATCACTAAATGACTTTTTGACTTTTAACAACACTTATCTACACAATTCAAACATATAAACAATTGACGTAAAACAAGTTTCAGTTAAAATTCCCTATTGAGGTAAAAATGAGTGTCAGCTAAAAATCGTTAAATGAGGAGCTGGTTAAAATGTAGTTCTCCATCATCTGACACGGTACATAAAATGTGTTAAATGCTGAAAGACAAGCTGCAACAACTCCACAAGTTTTGAAAATAATCATGGTTCAGTTTAAAAGTGATAAAAATAAAGTCTGCTAAGAGATAAATACATCTAAACCTGCTGATGGAGAAGATAAGCCGATAGACTCTAAAGAAAAGGCTGCAGCTTATCTATTAGAGAGACCAGACATCCACTAGGAAATTCACCTCATCATGCCATGAAGACTTGATTGAATGTACGTGATAAGCCATACCTAAAACCAAACCTCACTTGGATCATCTTTAATTCTTATGAAACTGCTCAATAAAGGTAATTAAACCAGGGGGGTGATTACAGGTTTTAAGAGAATACAAAAAGGACAAGACTTCCAAGCAGCAGCCTTATTTATTATACTGAATTTACAGATTTTTAATCAAAAGTAAACAGTATTGTACAATGTTTTATTCCATCACCTGTGCACCGTTGTACACAAGCTCGTGTCATTTTACCTTTTTTTTTTTTAAACTTCCTTTAAATAATTTCACCTTAAAAAAAAAACCTCCAGGAGCAAATGATGTGCATCCTCTAAAGTAAAGGGGGTGTTTACTGGGTATTAACTTAAATCGGGGCTCATGTTCTCTGCTGTTTGATTCTCAAACCAGACTTTAAATTCAAACACCAAAAATGTGGAGGATGATGGAAGGATGAACTCAATTTAGTCCTGTGATTTCATTTTAGGGGAGTAACTTAATGCACAAGTACCCAAAGGATATCCAGCTTAAGTTTTCCTCACTTACCTGCCTAATGTGATGAGCTCACGATAGAATAAACTCTCCCCATAAACAGTCTGGTTCTTTAAGGCTGAATCCCAAACCGCCCCCTAAAGCAGGGATGTCAAACTGGTTCCAGAAGGTTTTCTTTCCTACCAAGCAAAAGCAAAGCAGACTCCAGTCACCTCATTAAGTCGAATCTGAAGGTGATGACTTGATGAGATGCATGAAGTCTGGTGTTTCTATCGTTTGTTTGGAAGGAAAACCTGCAGCCAGATGGTCCTTCTGGAACCAGTTTGAACGCCCTGCCCTGAAGACTAAACCTTCACTATCAAGAGTCCATCTCAGTTAAGAAACACCCGCAGCTGTTGAAGGCGCCTTGATTGAAGGCAGGGGGCGTAAACGAGAATGGGACGGCCTCTTCCCGCCAATGGGAAAAGCAGTCGTTGCTATGGCAACACAGTGGCTGCAGATCTGTGGCACATAACATGACATTAAACGTTTGCCCCTCTCTGAAAACAAACTTATACTGCATCATAACACTATTTCAAACCTTCCCTTTTGGAATTGATGTTTTTTTTCTTATACCTAACTTCTGATTTTATGTCAGTTTGATGAAGATGCAGGAAAACCAGCGGAATTTACATTTGGAAGAACGCGTTTCCTCTGCCATTCGGGCGCCGTTACACCCGCCCCCAAATCCCAGAGCCTGTTTGATTCAGACCTGCTATCCACGGGCATAAGTGTCCACTCACCCTACCCACTACATGGTTTGGGACGGCACTTAACGTGGCAGACCCTCCGCTGGAATGAACAAACGAGGGTTAGTGTTCAGGGTCGGTTTGGGATCTCTTTATCAGTTAACAGAAAACATTTTAAAGAGCCCTTGATACTGAAAATAACATGGAGCAGGTGAAAAAAAAAACAAACAACCCAAAACAATAAATAAATCAGCTGAATTTCATTGGATTTTCATACATCAGTTCAAAAGACAAGCTCTTAACCTTTTGATTAACTTTTCATGACAACAGTAACTTGAGGGGACTCTGATCATTTGGATGAAATTCTTTCCTTGCAGTTCTGTTAATACAGTAAAGATAATTAACTTACTATTAATGTGTATCATAGCATAATATATATGCTGTGTGTGTATGTATAAATGTATACATACACACACATATACACACCCATACATATACAAACACACACACATAGCATTGTTGCAGTGCGTACTTCGGATGTTTGCTGTGTAAAAGCTAAGAGTCAGACGAAGCCTAAAAACAGACATTAAAAAAGTCGACTTTTTTGGAATGGAAACTTCAACAGTAAAGAATATTTACGTTTATTAACATTTGATGATATTGTGCACCTAACGGGGCCACACCAATACTTCAACATTTAAGATACCCAGAGTTGATCCTGCCCTCCGAGGTACCCTGACAGCCCTCTGGATGTAACTGGGGGGCGGGAGGTGGAGGATGTTGCCACCATCGTCTGACAGCAACCCTGGCATCAATATGGTCCCCCAACAGATGGAACAGCTAGTTTCTGGGGGCCTACAGTGATTCAGATCATAAATGACAATGTACAAACTGCTGCAGGTATCAGGATGTTCAGCAGCAGGGTGGGGAAGTGGGGGCAGGTTCTGATAGCGAGGGGTTGGCGTATGCATGGTCCTAATCAGAGCCTAGAAGGTCTTCCTGTGGATGGCACGTGCTCTGTCTTCTTCATATTCCCGCTTAGACACCCACATCTTTTTAAAGGTGTCCAACGAGGCCAAGATGGAGCCACTGCCAAAAGAGAGAATGCAGAGTCAACAGTGTGAGGGGTGCAAATGTCAACTAGAACCAGCGGAACAGCATAGAACTTCAGAATCGGCTAGTCTTTACCAGGGTCTAATTTTTTTATTCTGACCTGATATGAAAAAAGAAAAACATCACACAACAGATTAAAAGCATCTAAACTGGCGACAGTGAGAAGGTTAGTGTTACATTTTAATTAAGTGTAAAGTGACCAAAAAACGAGTTCCTTTCCGATTTGGAAATTATTGTTATTTAGCATTTTGAATTATAATTATACTGCAAATGCATTTAATTGTGAAGCCTTAGTTGTGTGTTAGAACTACAGCAAGGGAAACATCTGCAAACAGCTGCTGCTGTGCATCAGTCTACAAAGTGTTACAGACAGAGCCCAACAGGAGATTGCCTGCTTTAAAAAAAACAAAAACAACTGTATCCGATATTTTGGCTGATATAAGAAATTTATCGGCCAAAATACACACACATATATACATTAACTTTAAAGAAATACACTCTATACATTGCTAATGTGGTAAATGACTATTCTAGCTGCAAATGTTTTTTGCTGGTTTTTGGTGCAATATCTACATAGGTGTATAGAGGCCCATTTCCAGCAACTATCCAATGGTACAATGTGTTTGCTCATTGGCTCAGAAGGCTAATTGATGATTAGAAAACCCTTGTTCAATCATGTTCACACATCTGAAACCAGTAAAGCTCGTTACAGAAGCTACAAAACTGACCTTCCTTTGAGCAGATTGAGTTTCTGGAGCATCACATTTGTGGGGTCAATTAAATGCTCAAAATGGCCAGAAAAAGAGAACTTTCATCTGAAACTCGACAGTCTGTTCTTGTTCTTAGAAATGAAGGCTATTCCATGCCAGAAATTGCTAAGAAATGGAAGATTTCCTACAACGGTGTGTACTACTCCCTTCAGAGGACAGCACAAACAGGCTCTAACCAGAGTAGAAAAAGAAGTGGGAGGCCGCGTTGCACAACTGAGCAAGAAGATAAGTACATTAGAGTCTCTAGTATTAGAAACAGACGCCTCACAGGTCCCCAACTGCCATCTTCATTAAATAGTACCCTTTGTCATCCTGATAAAGGTCTTTGTAATAGGCATATAAAACAAACTACACTATAAACTACCGTTTGTTTTCTTTAGTTTTATACATGCCTGCTCACTCTCTACCCTGCTGCATGTATTTCATCACATCTGCTGGATCAGATCTTTATTACTTGTTTGTTCTATATATTCTTTACTGATCCTGCTGCAAAATGTGATTAGTGTGCACATTTAATATTTTTGCTAGCGTTGGGCAATCAACTGTATTTGAAACATCAGCAAGAGTCAACTAAATGTAATTTTCAAATCTCACAGGAGCTCAGTCTTGGTCACATTATATGTAACAGGAGTAAGGCACCAACTTTTTCACTCCAGTCATTTAGGTGGCGGGAATAGACTTATAGCGGATTGGCTCCTCTATAGAAGGAAAGGGCAAGGTGAAGCGAGCCAGAAGCTATATGTAGGGCCCTATAATTTCCATTAATTGGCAAATTAACGCGGAATCTAGTGTAAACGCGGAATTTCTACATTTGAAATGAAATTCTGTTTTTGTTTGGGAGAAGAATGTACGTCGGGGGAAAAAGCACACGGGGGGACGCAAATCTGGGCGACACAACCCCTCTCACTCCGTCATTTCCGCTCATCCGCCCCCATCAAAACATTGAAAAAATGGCGAAGCAGTTCGGCGAAAAAGTTGAGAAACACGACGCTAAGCCCTGAGTACAGAGCCGAGCAGTTCCCTCGTGACTTTTACGTGTCAGGTCAACTATTGTTTTGCAAGTTTGTCAACATTCCATTGGTTGGAAGCGCAAAAATACATGCACTGACCACTGGTCATCCAAAATTGAGAGGTCCTATTTTATTTTTTTACTTCAAAAAGCTAATGGAGCACTTTTATTTATAACCATTGGTTCATAACATTATATTAGAGTGCAGTGTTATGTTAACCTGACAACAGCCAGATGCATGTCTAGCTCCGCCTAGCTCCACTCACATACATCTGGGAACCCGCCATAGGAATTGCCTTTACTGAAGGCTGGGCCTTCTCAAAACTCCTTGCATATGATTGGATAAGCCACTTATCTGTCATCTTTATCGACGTGCTATTTCAACCACTCACACCGAAGCTAACCCGTGACGCTATGAGAGCGGAGGAAAAAAACAAAACAGAACAGCCGACATCTTGGATATAGCAACAGTGGAATCAGCGCAATGTCGGTAAATGATCAATGTTGTTTGTGCCATGAAAATGTGCGGATAAAAGACAACATTGTGCACAGCAGACTTATTTTAAAAAAAGAAGCCAACCAAAAAAGTATAGACGAACGACTTACAGAACTCGCTTCTACGCTACGTCACATCCAGGAAACACCGGCCCTGCGTCCTGATTGGCCAGACCATAAATTTGGTTGGGGACATCACTTTCAATGAGCGATGTCTCAGATGTATGTGAGTGGAGCTAGGCGGAGCTAGACATGCATCTGGCTGTTGTCAGGTTAGTGTTATGTTGGATCATGCAGTAAAAGTACTGAGTAAATGTGTTTTATTACCTCAATAAATTTAAGGTCATTCCTATTTTATTTGTGTACATTTTAATCATTAACATTCTTTAATTCAAGCACATTCTTTTTACGACTGAAATAACAGTAAAGGGTAAAATAAACGGAAATCGCAAAAATTAAAACGGAAAAAACTGAATTTTCAAAAATGAAAACGGAAAATACGGAATTTGGAAAAAAAAAAAAAAAAAAAAACTATCGATTTTATAGGGCCCTATATATAGAAGCATTTTACTCTGTGTGGCTGCTCCTCACTTTGCATTATTTTCTGGCTGACACTAGGTGGCAGTGTAGGGCACAAGCTTACACACTACATGTACAAACAGAAAACAAAGAATAATCGATATTAATAAAGCGACATGATTTGACCACATGGGCTCGCCCATTGGACACATCACACATTAATCAGACCAAAGTATTTCTTCATATTGGAAGCATTTTTAAATTTAATGCCAAAGATCTTCCTCATATACTGCAGGCCTGTTCCTGATTAAAACCACTGAGTCAGGAGGAGAACTTTCAGCCTCAGCAGCCTTTAGGAGAAAACCCTTTCCTTCTCAAACTGTACCAGAGTTTCAATCTGGTCCTTTGGGCGTCTATCCTTTACAACATGCGATACATTCAGGTCTTACCCGATCCACGTGGAGTACAGCCGTTCCTGGGGTGCAGAGATCTACACAGGCAGAAGAAAAGAGCCAATAAGATGTTAGAGAAACAAACCAGTCTGATTACTGCCCTGGGGTGGATTAGTAAGGCTTGTTGGCACTAACAAACACTTTTTTCCCTCTAGATTTTCTTCATGCAGCAGATTTTTAGCAAGCAATGCATACAGGAATACATTGTACGCCTTTTACTAAATACATCTAACTAAATACAGCTTTAGTAGGCCCTAATTTTACCCCAGAAGCTTCGCTCAAACATATACAATTTTACAAGCAGCAGATGCTGGAGTTAAAAATGTTGAATTTCTGTTGCTTGACGTGGAACATCCTCTATTTAGAGAAGTTGATCTTGGAGCGGGCAGGGAGACTGACAGCGGTGTTGAAGGAGAGCTCTTTGATCGATCCACTGAAACTGATAAATTTAACACGTCAAAACCTTCCCAGCAACATATGTTCCCTTTTATTATCCAGAGGCCTGCAGTTTGTACCGTATACCTGAAAAACAATAACATCTGCTTCCAGCCACAACCAACAGTAGGGGAAAACCCCCAAGAGGAAACCAGGCCCTAGGCAGCTGCTGCTGGGGATTCCCAGTGACAGCGCAGCGCCGGTATGTGGGGGTCTGAGCGGCTCCCACAGAGAAATATTTAAAGACAGGATAGAAGTCTTGACGAACTGCCAAACACAGATTAGCCCCATGTTTCACTGAAGGAAACCAAAAAAGGGCCAAACTAAAATGGAAAGAAAATGATGTAGGAGCCACATAATCAAGGTAGACCTACCTTAATCTTAACGTCTTTTGGTGCAAGCTTCTTGACCTCAGTTAGTAGTCTCTCTCCAAAGCCTGGGGGGAACGATAGAGTGAATGAATAAAGCCATTAGTACCAGTAAACTACACTACGTCTGTGGATAAACTAAAGTGATCCTCAAGTCCAATGCTTTGGAAGAAACTCGAGCTTAAAGTTTTTGTTAGATGCATCACCTACCTTTGATCAATGTTGACCCCCCGCAGAGAACAATGGTGGAAAACAAAGTGCGTCGCAGGTCCATGTCAGACTTTTGGATGGCATAGGCCAGGACCTCATGGATTCCTGAGCTCTCATCTCCAATCAGGTCAGGTCTGAACAGCAGTTCTGGAGCACGGAACCTTGCTGGTCCAATCTGAAAACAATAAGTTTGCATTTTAGTATTTTTGAAGACTTCCTGAATAACCATCTGGTGTCTGGTGGACCTACATTTAAAGTGCTTCCATCAGGGAGGACGTACTGAGCTTTCTCTGTTTCTAAAGTCTCATCCTTCTGTGGGCTTAGAGAGAGATAGCAGGCTCTCTGCACAGCAGGGAAGAAAAAAAAAAAAAAAACTTATTACAGTATTCATTGCAGAGAAAACGTGTCCCAGATAAACAGTGTCTCTGCTGCCTTCTCACCTCTTTGATGGTGCGCACCACCTCAAACTCTGCCGACGTGTTGAAATTGTAGCCCTCCTTGCGCAGCAGCAGGCGGAGGTACCGAGAGACATCTCTGCCAGCAATGTCTACGCGCATTATGGAGTGGGGGATGGCAAAGCCCTCATATATGGGAACCACATGGGTTACGCCGTCACCAGAATCCAACACAACCCCAGTTGTGCGGCCAGTGGCGTATCTGCATGGATAATTAATTTTACAAGCAATAAGTCTGTAGGTAATGTCCCCAATAATAAGAAGCAGAAGGTGATTAATACCAATGACATGCAGTAGAAAGGAGGAAGGTAAGTTTTAAAGACATTTCCCATAGGTAGAATTTTGAAATATGAATAATACTTTAAGAATGAGGAAAGGAAAAAAAATGGTTTAAAATGTTCCTTTTTGATAAAGCTTATAGTTAGAGTGGCTCAGGTTATCCTGAGCTATCTCTATAGTTCTGCTGCTATAGGCTTAGACTGCTGGAGGACATAAAGAACCCTTACATTCTGCTTCATTCTATCTCTATTCTCCCACTCTGCAGAATTTCTTAGGCCAGCCTCTAACTATATGATCTCTCTGGAGAGCAATATCAGCTGTTCTGCTACCATCAAAACCTTTGTTTATAGAAGTTGAAGCCAGCACTGTTTTTCAGTGTAGTCCTGTTTCTCTGACTGTGACTGACTGGATGTGCTCTCTTCATCCTCTGACATGGGAGCTGGCTCGGAGCTCGTTTCCCTCGCTGTGTGTTTCCTGGACGGGGCCGCCTGTGGAGCTGGTTGACAGTTGCCTTTTGCATCTATGCTTCTTTTTCTATGTCTGCTTCTGTCTCCTTGAACCCCAGTGGGCCTGAGCAGATGGCCGCTCACACCGAGTACGGTTCTGCTGGAGGTTTCTTCCTGTTAAAAGGGAGTTTTTCCTCTCCACTGTCGCTAAAAGCATGCTTGGTGTTGGGGGTTGCTGTTGAGTTAAGGATTTCATGCAATCAGCTGGTCTTCCTTTGAACCAATCTGACTTTATGATCTGGTTGAATTGTCTCAGTAAAGTACCTTGAACTGACCGGTGTTTTGAATTGCTACTACATAAATAAACTAAATTTAATATTAATTAGTTATTAATGATTATAAATTAATTTATTTTGATGATCTTTGTTGCAAGGTTTCTTTGGGTGTTTTGAAAGGTGCTTAACATAAAATGTAACATTATTAACTATGAGACCATAAAGTAAAAAGAGAGGATCAGCAGTTCTTACAAGCTCAAAACTGCCTGCATGGAAATGAAGAGAGCAGGAACATTGAACGTCTCAAAGAAGATCTCTGCCGCCTTCTCTCTGTTCTTGCTGGGGTTAAGAGGAGCCTCAGTCAGCAGCACAGGATGCTACAGAACAACCCAAAGAGAACACAATCAACTGCTGTTCAGCTAACTGGTGAGGGAAACAAATAATTGGAATGAAGCTCACCTCCTCCGAGAAGGTCTGCAGCTGCTCTTTGGAGTAAACGTACTGCCAGATCCTCTCCATGTCGTTCCAGTCGTTCACTATGCCATGCTCCATCGGGTAGCGCACCGACAACAAGCCCCGGTGCTCCTGATCCACAAAAAGGTGGAGACAAAGATAACAGATGGAAGGAATGAACCATGTTCCCTTTATTTCTTCTTATCTGATCCATTCTAGTTTATTTATCATACTGTACATTTTTTCTCCAACAGCAACAAAGTTTTGAAAAGATTGCCTAATTTGAGCACGTCAGAATAATTCTAGAGGACAGAAAATGAAGGGTCAGGGAGTTGATGCTCCATTCTAACATCTGTTGATAGATTTTACTGAACTAACTCCATGTAAAGGAAAGAAAGGTTGCTTGGTTATTTAGAAGTATAAAAAAAAAAAAAAAAGTTTAATTTTAATGAAGCATTCTTAATGAAGCATTGTGTTTATCATCCACAGAGCGGCGAAGCTGTTGAAAGAAATAAGATCTGTGAAGAAACGGGTCTGAACGGGGTCCAGGCTCTTAATTGTTTTGATGCGCCGCAGTAAAAAAATCATTTTGAAATTCTCTTTGCAGGACTGTTAGAGACTCATACAACATCTACACCTGCATATGAGGATAAAATGCTTCTAAAACATACAGAGAGAAGCTTCAAGCTGTAAACATAGCTTTCCTTTAAGCTTTTTTAAGGCAATGGTTCCGTTCTGAGACATTGTGATGAGATCATACTGCTGTGTTTGGTGTATTGAGCAAATCTAGACATGATAAAAAAAGTCCTTCCAAGATTCCCTCACTTTCTAACAAACTGCCACTATTCTGCCATCCAGTTTTCAAACATAATCTCTTTCTATAAAACGTCATACTTCATTATCTTCTTTGACTTGATGTGCTGTGTGCAATACCTCTGCTTTGGGTCCAATGAAGAGATCTCCCTCCAAGGCTCCAGCCATCACCCTCACATGCTTGGGACGTCCCACACTAATTAGAAAGAGTGAGATTTGGGGATTTTACCACCCATGCTAACACACCAATCTGACAGCACGATAACAGACATGTGAGTTTACCTCCAGATGAAAATCCCAAGGATCTAGCCGCAGTCAAGTTAGTTTTATGTTGGATATTCGACAGACGTTTGATAGATACTCCTGTTAAACCTCTTCTTCAAATCCACCCGTATTACAGACTTTACAGTAAAAACGAGGCGACAGGAAACGGCTACATCGTGTAAAAGCTTGGGCTGAATGATTAAGTGCATTTGGAATAAATAAAAACAAGATTTTCTATCCGCAAATGTTGCAATTTGACTGGTGAGAGTGACTTAAGGGAGCAAATCAGAGCGGGAGGAGAAACCAACACTGAGCTTCTATCTGTGGCACAATAGCCTCAGACTCAACAGAAGCTGAAACAGATAAAAGTTTAGATAAAAGTGAAAAACATGTCAGCTGTGTGGAAATATTTTAGCTTTTTAAAAAGATGCCGTTTGACATCAGGTATGGTGCAGAACGTGCCTCACTGCCTCACAGGAAAATACTATCAGGGGTTGACGTTAAGGATTTTTACCCTTTGGGCAAGTGACTTTCACATTTCATTTGCCTAGAAACAATTTTTACTTGCTCAGTATAATGTTTGATAAATATAGTTCCTAATATTCATTTTTTGTATATATATCAATGAAACATGTTTGTTTTTTAAATGTTTTTTGTAATTCAGTATTTTTTA